CCTTCTTGCTCATCCTCCACCAATCCTCTTATATCTGACAGCGCGTGATTTTCATCTTGCAAATGTAGAAATTTGTCAAAATGTAACTATTTGTGTAGATCGGGTGTCAAAGGCTTATGAGTCCATTAGTCTACTGAACGATAGCATCACCTGTTTCGAGTCAATGCAAATGCAAAGTTGATCCTCACTGCGTGCTACATTGTCAAGTTGAAGCAAACTACTAATGTGCACGGCCAGCGATTAGATCGACGAGGCTGATAACCCAGAGATCAAGGCGTCAAAGGTCCAGAGTTGATTAGTGCGTCTAATGTAACATTTTCTTTGTCAAATTGGCAGCAACGGAGTGCCCATCGACAGCAGGCCAAACTGCAATGTTAAACTAATACAGGTACTCCTTGGATCAATGAGGTGGAGAAACGGGAGATGAGTTTAAAAACATATGAGCATGTGGGGCAGCTTTGGATCGAGATTGAGGATGCTTGCAGTGCTTTAGTAGTAGATTAGTTACCTCTAAGATGCCTTCGACTATTTATATTTTCCTCACCTCCCAAGGTTGCATCTCAGCTTTGGCTAATTGGATGGCTGCTGGCGGTTTACTCCGGCATCAAGGAGAAGGAAAAGCATTATGCAGTGATTTTCTAGCATTCTGCGGTTTACTACTGTGCTTTGGATTCCTTCCTCAGAGGTTGAGTTAAAGTATGATATATTTATCTTATATTTATCCACATGGTTAGATGTTTATTCTATTTTGTGTCATTTTCTAGCATTTTTATTGTTTTTGCTAGCTACATGCACATTTAATATATCAATAAATAATGGTACGTACAACCATTTCATATCACTTTTTTTTACTTTGATTAACTTAGTATTTTGGTACTCACTCCGATCCATATTAATTGATGCAAAGTTGTATCGGAGTAAGTAGTACACTACTTTGGAGCAACCATGTGAACAAGATATTTTGTTCACGGGTTAGCCTCCGAACGGGTCGAGGTAGCTGAGCTCTACTTCATCCAGCCGGCCATGGTTGTTGTCTTCCTCACCGGTCGGTAAAAACCCCATGATGTGATCTTGCAACCCCCACCCCCCACCCCCCCACCCA